AATTCTCATTTTCAACCACACATTTTTCAATAAAATAATATTTTCCATCACATCAATACTTTTTTCTTCTTTTTCAACCATACATTTTTCATCATATCACTATTCAAAAATCAATTCTTCTCCCAAAAATTTCTACCAAATAAGCACTAAATTAAATATAAACGATAAAAAAGAGAAAGTAAGTAAATGTACATGACATGTAGATATGTCAAACCGTACACATATATTTGATCAAAATTGTCCACCTTTCACAATTTTTGGTACCAACCATTTTCCCATTGTAATCTTAGTATTGTAAAGTATAAAAATACCATATTTACAATTTCATCTATGAAAAAATCATCAGTTTGCAAGACAACTTGATAGACACAAATTTCAACATTTTCTATCTATTAAACACAAAAAACGATCATCAAGATTCACTAAAGTATTGTTTAATTTTATATATTTAAGTCAATACAATATCGATGTTTCAGTTCATGCTAGTAAGTTAATCTCTTTCGATGCTTGTTTATATAGCATTAAAAACTTATTATCGAAATATTAATTAGCTACATTTATTTTTGCGTCCAAAAAGGATGCGAGCCGAACATTTTTAGCTATTGTTCAATGGCTTTTAAATTGAAAAAAAAAATGATGTTTTCAATGGTAATTTTTTTAAAAAAAACGTGTAGTTAAAAATTAGATTGTTATTATTATTATTTTTTTTGGATTTACGGTAAAAAAAATTTATTATGTGAATATATGGTTGAAGATAAGTGTGATAATTAAAGATTTTTAATAAGTTATGGACTTAATGTGCTGTGAATAATAGGTTTGGGATTATATAAAATGACGTGGAAATTGGATAAAAAAGTTGATTGTTTTATAAACTGTCAAATGGTAAAATGTAACGTGACATTATGAAATTCCTTATATGAATTTTTAGAGTAATGATATTTATCACAACTTGTGCCAAGCACCATCCAAGTGATAATTCCATAACATTGAATGATAGATCCACTTAAATGTATTGTCATATATAATTCATTTAATTGAACCTATCAAAAGTATCCATCTACACTGATGTTAGATAACATTATTCAAATATTTATGTACATGCAGTAAAATCCACAGGTTTTAACCCCAACATCACATGGGTCAAAGGCTGAGGACCCAAACTGTAAATTTCCGTATTTATTGGATAGTGCCCCGTTTGTTTCTCATTTTTATCCATAAAAATGAAAAATATGACCGTTATCCATTACATCAACTCATCAATTTTGAATTTTGGATAATAAGAATCAAACCGGGCCTGTAAATTAAACTTCTTGTTTTCTTTCCCGGGAAAATATACGGCATAGCAACTTTCCCGGACGCCGGAGGAGTGTACCACGAGTCCTAGAGCTCCGGATTTACCGGAATAGACCTCGTCCTCCACGTCTCCTTTTTCCTCCATTTTCCATCCTGTTTTCCCCCACTCTCCAATTCCTCATTTTCCCCACGGTATCTTTTCCTTTCCTTTCATTTGCAATTTTCGTTGGTGGTATCACCGCCAACTCTCCGACCGCAGGAAAATGAGGAGAAATTATTGCTCCTTCGCCGCCGTGACGTGGTTTATGTTTCTGGCGTTCTCCGACGTTTTAGTTAACGCCAAGTTCATTGACATCTCTCACGAGTATGTTCCTGGCTTGCCCAAATATGATTCGCCTACGGGTCTGGGAGCGTTCATGAGGACTAGCACTATTATTGGTGTAGGTAATAACAAGTTCAATACCCGCATTTTTATTTTGAGTACGGATTGCGGGACTCACGTCAAAGCCTTCACTGATGTCGAATCCTTAGATCTCACCATTCTCAACGGTAATGATTTCATTGAATCGTGGAATTTCTAGAGTTGTTGTCAAATTGAAGATCAAAGGAATTTGCCTAATTCATGAATACATCTGTTTATTCATGAAGTTTTTTACGTAGTACAGGTCCAGCGTTGGTGGTGGAGGTTCCAAAGGACAAGAACATAACTGGTATTTTTTCACGTGTTCTTCCTTTGTCGAGTCAGAATGGTTTAAATACGAATTTCTAGAATTTCTAATCATTGTTGAACAGCAAAATATAATAATTGAATGCTTGCAATCTAAAGAAACGCAATTTCCATAGGAAAAATAATTAACAGATATCTTGAATGTCTCTACAACAGTAATTGTTAGCGCACGCATGACGGGATGACAGAAAAAGATAGGAAGTATGTAAATGAGCATCCATATGACTTGTAGATATAGGAGCCCATTCTCAAAATTAATTCTTTCTTGCTACTTTGGAGTATTCCTCCCAGTTACAGGGATTGTGACATGTGGCATGATATTGCACCCTATCTCTGGTTTTGGAATTGAGCTTGGCCCTGTCTCAGCCTTAATGAGCAGTTGAATCCTCTGTAGCTTAAAGATGCTCCTCTACATCTGAGAATGTCTAAGTTGGAAATGTAGACACATTTTAATTTAACTTTGGTCCATTTTGAGCATGGACATTCACATAATAATTGCATGTGGAAAGTCACACAATAGCATTGATCTTCATTCTGTTTTTGGCTTTAATCACTAATCTGAAAATTTGGTTAGAAACAGATTGAAAGTGTGACTTTCATGGATTGCTGTATCATTTTTTATTTTTTTTTTTGAGCATCTAACAAATCTTCATTTCATATAGCACTTAAGTTATGCTTCCTTCCTTCTTTTAGCTGAAGTTATGCAGAGTTTAAGCATTCCCAAAGGAGTAAAGCGTGTACTTTTCAGGACAGTGAATACCGAAAGGTAAAATTTACATCAAATGGTTTATGCTTAACGCTTCAAGATTGATAACATTTGGTGTTTAAACTAAACATGAACAGTGAATAAACATAAAATGAGATAAGTCTATCTTTGTATTTTGCATATTACAAAAACTCGTAAAAAGGTGATATTCGTTTTCTGTTCTATTTGCAACTTACTACACAGCCTCTGTAAGATGTATATTATTGCAAGGCCATTGCTAATTTTGGACTCTTGAATTCATCTGCTATGCCACTTGAGAGGGATCGTTAGATTTCATGCAAAGTGGGATTTGAGTATATAATTTTATTAAACTTGATTAACCTTAGTTTTTGTCTCAATGTTTCTTCTGTAATCTGCTGAAAGTACTGAAATATCTGCTAGGGCATTATTCCATTTGCAATATGACATCCAGTTGAACTAAAGTGATTGCATTTTCAGGCGGCTTATGTATAAAATGGAGTTCGACTCGAGCTATACTGGTTTCCAGAAAGATGGGGCAGAGTGGTTGGTGAAAAACACTGATGTCAAACTTATTGGTAATGAATTGTTGGGTCTTTGAATAAAATAAGTTATTAATGCTTGCATTGAAATAAAGAATGTAGATGTGAGTGGATAAAGGAAGAAAGAAATGTCCTGAATAATTTGGTCGTTTTATATATTGTTAATCTTTATGCATATAGCTTCTTTTTGTTAAGGGCTGATTTATTTTTTTCCTTAGGTGAGAAAGAGAAAATTTAAGTTTTTATAATTTTGTTTGCTATTTTTCTGCGATTTTTTACACTGCAAAGAAGTGGTTGACCTGAAGCATCTTTTTTATATTCTTTTTTTTTTTGTAGGACTTGATTACTTATCCGTTGCTGTAAAACCCGATAAGGCTGATGTGTATCAGGTGTTGGGCAAGGTAATGTTTAGTGCCTTCCATTATTATCTTCCATCAATATTTCTCTGCATTCACAAGTCATAAACAGAAGAATTTTTTAGCCATTTGGCTTTAATTGAATTAATGAAAAGTCATAATTTATTGTTGAGTAATGCTACTTATCTAGACTCATGATCCCTACATTTATGATGGCAAGTCAATGAATGCCACTTAATTGCCACGTAGACTCATGATATGCCTACATAAATATCATTATTCTTTTTGTTGAATTGGTGGAAAAGTGTTGAATATTAGTCCTTTACATTTTGGACATCTTTGTTCACGCAGATGTATGTTTTAAAGGTTATGATTTAGATAGATCTTCTCTACTTCGTGGCAGTCAAATCGCTTAATATCCTACTTTTCGGATAGATGCCAGTAATCAAATTATAATGTAGTTCAATCGAGATTTTAATACATTTATTCTCCACATATCAATTTAATATTTACTGGTTTACCGGAGAAACTGCCAGCCGTGTTCTATTATATCAGTTTACTAACTCAAGTTTTGCTTTCAGGATGTAATTCCCGTGGAAGGCTTAAACCTTGATAAAGTCAAATCCGGAGAATATTTCCTCCATTGTTTACCTCTACGGATGTCTGAGGCTAATGCAGCCCCAACGAGATGCATCCTTCTCCGGTGATCTTTCTCCCTGTAAGTGGAATTTTCTCTTAAGAAACATCTCTTTGTGAAGCTGCATGTATGGCTAAGCTTAGAAAGTTTTACTTTTAAGTCTGTCTGAAAATAAATAATTTTGTTAATGGTCCAAAGTTGGCTTGAAGGTAAGGTAATTTATTTGTTAAAAGTAAAAAAAGTATTTACTTCTTCTTAAGCTGAGCCATACATGCTTGGCACTTGTAATTGGCATCCAAAGTTATTTTTTATTTCTTGGGGGCTAACACAATTTCTCATTCATGGTTGCATCTTAATTGTAGGGACATGATTGGTTACCTATATATTTTATGAAATTTTAGATCCAGGATCTTGCTGTAAACCATGTCCTATTAGTTCATGTTTTGTTTGGTTGTAAATTGTAATCAGAAACGATGTAGTGATCCTGCTTCGACTATAAAATCAGTATTTTTTATCTTGTGTCATTGTTTTAACGAAGGGCGAGATTTTAACTTCTTTTTTCAAGTGTGGTTTTTCTTTGGGTTACATTCTGCAGCAAGGGAAGTGTAAGTGTTATGCTATAGATCCAATCAACTTTGAACATAAACACTTTTAATATATAATTTATGCATATTTATGGTAATAACTATTATTTAATTGAACTAATATTTTAATAAATTAAATAATAGAATCCGTAAATTCAAGTTTTGGTAATTTGTTAATCATAAGGAGTTTTGGTTGTAAGATATAAATTACATATGACTGAATCTTAAAATCGTTTGTGCTCATAAGTAATAACAAGATATGAATATCATAATTACGGATAGACCATCACGTGCAACATTTCTTACTTGTGAAGTAGCTGATCTCACAAGAAAGTGTTGTGACATTTAAATGAACGCGTAGAATACAACATTGGAGATTCCTTATGGATAATTATCTAAGTGTCGGTGGTTAATCTCTAATGTTCGATAGTGAATTTAGTCATTTGACTTGAGGTCATCATATTACCTTATATGAAGTAGTCATACTTTGGTGATGTTGGATGTTTATCTGCCAATGATCACTAATACGGCATCATTTGGGTATGTCAAAAATCATGAGGGTTATGAATGATCAATAAAGGATTCGCTACTTAGATTGTAAGATATTATGGTCTATATTTCATCCAATTAAGTTAATAATGAAATTCTTGGCTAAGGTGTACATAAGTTGAAAAGGAGTTTTCACCTTACATTGACTTAATATCGAGATGAAAAATATGATCGATAATTGAGATTGGCAAATATTCATATCTCGTAATTGATCATATTAATGAAAGCGTTATAGTTTCATGGTAAACGAACAAGTTTAGTTTTATCACATCACGTGATATTTCACGTCAATTTGGAACGACGGATGTGAATTGATGATAAATTAAAATATGATAATTTATCGATTTTGATTATATCAAAAATAATAATTCACGTCGCTAAATATCGTAATCGGGAACTCGATGTGTCATACACAAAAGGAGAATCAGAAGAATGAGATTCCAATTAATTAATTAACAATTATTGTAAAATTAATTAATTGGATTGCTTGTTAATGGACCTAAATTAATTAATTCATGGACCGAATTTATATAATTAAATTAATTAAATATTGAACCAGATTAAGTTTAAGAGACGAATCAAGCTCACTTGGACTTATATTAATAAGAGCGTGTTTGGGACACATTTTTTTGAAAAAAAATGTATTATTGAATAGTAGATTGATAGAGAATGTGTAGTTAAAAATGAAGGAAAAGTTATTGATGTGATGAAAAATATTATTTTATTGAAAAATGTGTGGTTGCAAATAAGTAGAAGAATGAGAATGATAAAAATAATGTGTACCAAGTAGGNAAAATGAAAAAAATAATGTGTACCAAACAGGGCCTAAGTCATTAGGGTTTCAGAAAATAATAGAACATAATTCATTATTCTTGCTAGCACAAGAAAAGAGAAGAAACTCCTAGTTTTTTCGTTCTTGTTCCTTGTATGTATTTCCATTGGAGTCTGGATAATTAGACGGCTATGAATTGCATATCGTAATTGTTCATGTTCCAAGATCAGCAAAGAAGTTTGCAAAATTTACAAAATGTGTTATTCTAAACATAGTTTCTATTTAAACACAAAGCAGATTCGTGGTGTGAATTGAAAAATAATTTATTTTTTATTGTGTATGATTAAGTTAATTCTCAACCGGAATGATAATATTAATCCAGTTTCAAGGCTGTAAAGTTGGTTTTGTTGCTTAATAACTCAAAACATGATGACCAATACAAGAAGAAAAGTACCCTTTCTTTCACTATTTTCGCGGGTCAATGTGTTTTCTTCTATTTCATTCTTTGTAGGAATTAATTTAAGTCAGTTATCATAATTTAAACTGATTAAGGATTAAAGCGATTTTTTGATTAAATCACTCCTTTATTTAAACTGATTTACGTCTTGACGTGCATCCGAAGTACATAAAAATAAAAAATCTTTGATTAATTAAAAAAAAAAAAACCAATTACATGTGCTGGAAAGTGCTATTTTTCAACTTTGTGGCAAAGCGATGGCACGTTGAAGTTAAAAGCAACAAAAGTAAAGGGAGATGCAAAGAATGAAGTTTGATTTGATTAAAAGTATTTAATTTGACTAATTAAGCAATAAACTCCACTTTTAATTATTGATTAATTATGGAATTAATCTGGGAATTTGTTCACATTCTCAAGTCTTTCCTCCTATAAATGTTGGACTTGAAGCCATGTCAAAGCCACTCAAAAATCCCAAGAAAAAGCATACAATATATTATTTTCCTTAATTGAGGGTTTCAATGGCTAATTCATTGAAGCTCAATGTGGTGTGGATTATGTTGGTGCTAATAATAGCAATAGAAGGGGATACTCCACCAGGAATAGCTAACAATCCAAGCCATGCAAGGTGTTTAATCAAAAAATACAAGCATTGTTATAATTTGGAGCATGTGTGTCCCAAGTTTTGCCCTGATTCTTGCACTGTTGAATGTGTTTCTTGCAAACCTATTTGCTCTGGTGGCTCCACCCCTCCACCACCTGATGGTAATGGTGATGGAAAGGGCGACAATAATGGAAAGGGTGACGGTGGTGGAAAGAATGCTGGAAAATCCTCTCCTCCCGCTCCTACACCTTCTCCACCAACACCATCACCTCCCACTCCAACACCTTCTCCACCAACACCATCACCTCCCACTCCAACACCTTTCCCACCAACACAAACACCATCACCTCCCACTCCAGCACCTTCCCCACCAACACCAAACCCATCACCTCCCACTCCAGCACCTTTCCCACCAACACAAACACCGTCACCTCCCACTCCAACACCTTCCCCACCAACACAAACTCCATCACCTCCCACTCCCACTCCTACACCATCACCATCACCTCCCACTCCCACTCCTACACCATCACCATTACCTCCCACTCCCACTCCTACACCATCACCATTACCTCCCACTCCTACACCTTCCCCACCAGCACAAACGCCATCCCCTCCTACCCCAACTCCTCCCTCATCTCCACCCGTTTCTCCTTCCCCAACATCTCCATCATATTCTCCTCATCCACCTTCAACCGATGTTAACGCTCTAAGGAGAAAACGATGCAAGAATAAAGACTTCCCTCAATGTTATGGAGTGGAGCATGTATGCCCTAGCTCCTGCCCAACCACGTGCGAAGTTGATTGTAACTCTTGCAAACCTGTCTGCAGTAAGTCGATTCAAACCCTATTTTCACATTCATTTCTTGACTTTGTGTAGCACTCCGTGTTATATATGGACATAATCTTATTGTGATAGAAATTTTGTTATTGGAAATGCAGAATGTGATTATCCAGGAGCTGTGTGTCAAGATCCTCGTTTCATTGGAGGTGATGGCATCACTTTCTACTTCCATGGCAAAAAGGATAAAGATTTCTGCCTTGTAACAGACCCCAACCTCCACATTAACGCCCACTTCATTGGAAGAAGAAACGAAAAGATGAAGAGGGACTTCACATGGGTTCAATCCATTGGAATTCTCTTCAATAACCACAACCTCTTCATCGGAGCAAAGAAAACCGCCACCTGGGACGACGCCAAGGACCACCTCGCCTTCGCCTTGGAAGGGGCTGCCATCCACCTCCCAGAAACTGACGGCGCGAAATGGCAATCCAAAACTCTCCCAGAAACAACCATGAAAAGGGACGCTGACACCAACAGTGTGATAATCGAAATTGAAAGGATTGTCAAGATTACAGCTAAGGTGGTTCCCATTACTGCACAAGAATCTCGAGTTCATAACTATGGCATTACAAATGAGGATTGCTTTGCACATCTTGAACTGGGTTTCAAATTCTATTCCCTGAGTGGCAACGTAAATGGTGTTTTGGGACAGACTTACAGAAGTGATTACGTGAGTAGAGTGAAAATGGGTGTATCAATGCCTGTTCTTGGAGGGGACAAAGAATACGCAGTTTCAAGCCTATATGCCACAGATTGTGCTGTTTCGCAGTTTATTAAAGGCGGAAAAGATCAAGTTTCTACATTCAATTTGGAGCTGCCGAGCATGAAATGTGGCAGTCGAATGGATGGCGGAGGAGTTGTCTGCAAGAAATAGGGTTTCAAATTGCATTATGGATTAAAATGTACGAGTTAATAAAGGTTCAATAACATTGTAATTTCTTCAATTCAAAAGTTTCATCCAATAAAATTGGAAAATATTTTACATTCTTCTGATACGTAGATTAATGTTGGAATTCTTCTTTTCTTTTATTTTTGGCTTATTATTATTATTATTTTCTAAATATTGGATTGCAGAGTCTGTTAGGGCTCTGTTACCTGAAAGAGTTAATCTATTTGTACATAATGGATTACCTCCTCTCACATAATACGCTGGGCTCGCGTGTATTTAAAAATTTCGACGATATAGTCTCTATCCCCATTGCAAGTAACAAGTAAAAGATTCGGTAAAAAAAATCAGTACATGTAGCACGATCCTACTTGAAATTACCCATCTTCAATCTTTCTTGGACTGGGCCCATTACAATTGTTGACAATGGGCTCTGGATTGTTCATGTGGGTAATGGGACATATGATCACCCTCTTTTGAATGGTGGAGGCAACGAGTCGAGTCGGCCCATGGGCCTAGAAATTAGGCTTGGCTCAAGAACCCTAATCACAAGCCTTTTGATTTGATTTTTTAATATAATTTGACCGAAAAATATAGAAACAATTACATGCAAGATGAAAATCAGAGAAGTTTAATGTAATTAATAAAAAACAACAAAAAATAGGGCAGGCTTGTGGGTACCCACGGACCATCTTTCAAAGCCCACAGACTCAGCTCAGGCTATTGGATTGTGATGGAACGAGCCGAGTTCTCACAAGCTGGTCTTCCAGCACACAAGCAACTTGATTCCATTACCACCAAAGGCGGATGTAGGGAAGGGCAGGCCTGGGCTATAGCCCAGCCTATCCCTAGCCCATATACAATGGAATGTAAGCAATAAAAGCTCATTCAGCCCAGCTGCAAGATGGAATGTAAAAGTAAAATAGTTCCATCGAGGGAACAATACATTTCTAAGGTATTTACTTTACACATTTTCAAA